GTAAATAGATTGATATTGAAGACAACTACAATATTAAGTAAGTAGAACATAATAGGAAAACTATATAATAAGAAAGTAGAACAACAGAAAAGTAACTTTCTAACTGACAAAAATCAACAAAGCACCGAAGCGCAACATCATTCTACTAGCCGGATAAAATGTTAACTATGGTAAATAAGAGGTAAGCATGTAATGCAGTCTCTAGGATGGCATGCTAAACTAGAGCAATAAAGTTTTGAGAGGAAAAACAATCATACCACATGAAATCCCGAATAAAGAGTGCCCGTGGGATCATAAGTCCATTCCCAATCATGGCAAGCAGCATTGAGATAGCCGATAAACCTTTGATGTTATTCGGATTCAAGAAATTTGTCCACTGGAAAGTAAGCATGAATTGTGATGAGGAAACCCATGCCAAAACAACATAAGAAAATTTAGATTTTTAATCCCAAAAACACGGTATAGATTACCATTTGTGCAACAGGCATCCACATAAAGAGAAGTGTGGCAGTCCATCCAGATATTGATCCAACAAATTTGATGCCATTTTCTGAGAGTTTGCCCAATCGAGCCTGCAAAATATTAGCAGATGCAAACCTCAGGAAAGCAAAATCTGAAGCCTTTATTGGATTGTCCAAATCAACAAATAACAAACACTCAACTCTAAGGAAATATGTCTTATATGATCTAAATTAATAGGAGGCTGTCATATTCCCACAATGATAGTGTCGGGAAGATGGTTCCACAAAATTGGAATTTTTTTTTGTGTCGATGACTATGAATAATAGGGGTGTCAATTGAATCATGTAGTGTCAAATTCGGGTTGTGTCATCTATGTATTAATAAGAAAACCATTTAATTCTAAAACTATTCAAAAAAATATAAGATAAAGAATTGAAAAAAAATCATATAGTTTCTTTTTTCAATTTCACTTAAACGGGTTATTTGTGTCTAACACTGACCTGACTAATTTCCTATTTATATGTGTTGGTAGTTGTGCCTGTGTTGATATGGAATACAAGCGCCCCTAATAAATGAGGATATCAACCGTCTCTCACTTCACAGATAGAACTTGGACCTCATCCAACTACTCTTCCATGTGAAAGGCAATTCCAAGCCAGTCATTGCAATAGATGGTCTTCGCAACTATCATTCAGAGATTTATATACTGATTCTTAGCATACTAAATCATGATAAGCAAAGGATTCTTAACAAGTAGATGGTCATCAGACAGGAGATGCTCATGAAACAATCAATAGCAAGAAGGCCCCATTGGAGCCTGTTTCACACCAAGTGGTACCAGTAGATGGCAATTTTTTATCTCAGCTAATACACACAGACTCATGTCTGAACAAGAACCTAAACCCTATTCTCTCCCTCATTACTTGTTGTGCAATAACAGAATTGAAATCTGGCATCCACTCATTCCATCATTATTTCCAGCATAACAATGTATTCACACTAAACTCCTCGTAAAAGTCACTCATTTTTTCTAGCTTTAGGAAACTTAACTCTACAGTCAACCATGACTTCCTCAGGTTCATGCAAGGTGATGACAGATGGGAATACTCCTTTGTATACAACCTAATACAACGCTGAACAACTCAAAAGCCACCATGGTCATCACTTGATTCAGTTTCACATTGATGATCCTGTTGGTCACATAAATCGCAGAGGAAAACAATCCCTTCAAGTTTGAATAAACTTTTTCCCCATTTTATAATGACTTTTCTATTGTCTCGCATTATTTGTTTGGCAATCTTTACACATCCAAATGGAACTTCAGATACAGCCGGAAACCACAATGAATATAACGTTTACCATAATAACAGCCACAACGGCTATGATGAAAGCCATCACCCCTGGCAAGATACTGTTTTGAATATACGGGACAAATGTTGACCACATGACCTGCGTGGCAATTCATAAGTAAAGAAGGCTCAGGACAAAGAAAAATTAACGAAAATGGATAAAATTTGGTACTTTGCATGCAAATAGGGAGGGGTGTGGGGGTGTGTGTGTGTGAGAGAGAGAGAGAGAGAGAACTTGGGGAAGTGCAGAGAGCCCAGCAATGGTAATGAAATCTTCCCAAAAGCGCCAGATTCCCAGATTGAGCAACTCAAAGTAATACAAAAAATTTAAAATGAGACCAGAAGCAACCACAAAAGAAGTGATGACAAAATGAGGGAGAGGCATCGCTTCGGCCATAGCCAGCTGAGCAATCACCACATATATGGATACAACTCCTAATGTCTGTACCACCACCACCTCCGTTTCCCTCTTCTTTGCAAAGTATGATAGTAACGAAAGATTCCCAAGCAACCCAGTGAACATCCCCTGCATTTAGAATGATTCTATACCATTACCATGAATAGAAGTAGACATATATAGTGCTTAATTCCAATATGGAATAGTTTTTTCTATGAGAACTTGCAATGCAATACCAGCCATGGAACTGCCAAGAGTGCGGACTTGTTTCCTGCCATAAGATTACGAGCATTGAGTATGATCTGGGGCAGTTGCAGCAACAGAAATGGTAAATTTGAAGCTCCCGCAAATTTTGCAGTCAACCAATCCCATTGCTCGAAACTGTTACTTTTCTTCAACTTATCTGATGTCTTTTTTTTAGGCATTTTTTATCAAATCATTATCAACAGCAAAAAAAAAATACAAAACAAAACAAATCTTTGGTGAGGGTGATGTGCATAATAATACCTGGTGAGTGGGGCGTGGGGCATCGGAGTCAAGAGCAGGAGCAGGAGCAGGATAGGGTTTGAGTGGATAATGAGTGAGTGATGGGTGAATTGAGGGGACAAAGAAGAGCAGGCCATTAGATTTGTTATTATTGAGGAGGAGGCGGCGGCCTTGTTGTTGAGACTGAGAGTAGTGGTAATAGGGGCGGGAGCGGGAAAAACACGAGGCAATTAAGTGGTGTTGATGAGAAAAGAAATGGTAGGAATTGGGAGGTGGAGAAGGGCGTAGAGGTAAGGGTAGCAAAGAACACGCCATCATCCCCTCTGAAAAATCAAAAGGCAAACAATTTATCATATTTCTAATACATAAACAGTTCACCAAACCTTAACCATGATTTTTAAGCACAAGTACATCATCATCAATACACAAAAAAAAAAAAATCAAACACAATCTAACCTGAGAATAGTGTAGGTAAACTCAATAATGAACGCACAAAAGAATATTGAGAAATCAAGAGTGACCAACCGCAAAATATTGAATTTACTTTAGGACTACCATTTACATAGCTAAAAGGCAGTGGCACTTAGAGCAACTCCACCCATATTATCTAAAATAGATCTTCAAAATATATTTAAATATTATATTATCTACTTTAGTAATAACTTTTTCAAATTCACTCCGACCACGCTATCTATTTATTTTAGCAAATCACTTTAACTAATTTTCAATAATAAAATTAAAAAAATAATAATTCAACTATATATTGTATAAATTTAATCAATTATGGATTACAAGAGTAAATATCATAAAAAATGAGCTATAAGGATAAATATCATAAAAGAAGAGCTCATCACATGTATTTAACAAAACATTGACATATGTATAAGCAGGAAGACGATATGTATATCTATAAATCAGCAGGAAATTCCACTGTGGGTTTCGGATTGTAAATCAGCATGTATATGAATACCGGTGGGTTTCGGATTGGCAGAGGCGGTGGAGTCGACTGTGGGTTTTGANTGCACTGGTCCTCTCATTAAGACTTTGCTAGGTGTAGTTCAACTGCACAGTCATTTCTATTTTCCTATTAGACTTTTAGAGTAAATTATATTTGACCTATATGTAGTTTTTGAGTGATGACATCCTACCTTCTTATAATTTGAAAATGGACACACAATTCCTGTGGTTTAGGATCAATTTATGGATTATTTCTTGTGTTCGTAAAGGAAGAGGACTCCCATAGCGAAACATCATGGATCCTAGTATTCCTAACAACTGTTCTGAGGATGAATACATAAGAGCTTTTGAGGAGAACATCCGACACCAACATGATAGTGGTTGCCTCATAGTGACTATAACCTTCACGTGCGGCCAAATTCACCATGCCTGGTGGCTACATCCGTTATTTCATTATTTTTGCCGGATACATCTAGGAAACCTGAAATACTTGAGAAACCGCAAATGAGGAATAAAAGAGGTCCACTGCACTAAATCTTTATGCGCTAACAGCAAGGCTTGAGAAGCCACTAGTTGGAGCAACCCTAGCTGGGACATTCAAACGGNAAATCTTTATGCGCTAACAGCAAGGCTTGAGAAGCCACTAGTTGGAGCAACCCTAGCAGGGACATTCAAACGGAAGTTGTGATTAACAGTTTGAACATCTAAATATTAAGAGAACCTAAAATTAAATATTTGAAAATTTTCATGTTTCAATTGCCAAAGGTTAAAGAACGGTAGAATATAAAAGACCAAATATTCTTCATCTTCCAGTAAGTAACTAATGATGTATTCATTACAGAATGAACTTTCATGTTGCAATTGCTAACGATTCAAGAAAGCAAGAATACAAAAGAACATAAAATTTTAATCTTCCAATAAGTTACTAATGATGTATTCATTGTAGAATGAATGTTTAATTTAACGAATCTGTAGTGGATCTAAATCCATCTAATAACTGAATTTATAGTTCAATGCATGTGCAACATTTTTGTTGCTAGCTATTAGATCAAGGTTAAAAATGACTTTATAGCATTAATCAAGGATAAAAATGGTATTCAAATTTTTTTCACTTATAGTGACGATTAGAAGTAGTGTAAATAGATTGATATTGAAGACAACTACAATATTAAGTAAGTAGAACATAATAGGAAAACTATATAATAAGAAAGTAGAACAACAGAAAAGTAACTTTCTAACTGACAAAAATCAACAAAGCACTGAAGCGCAACATCATTCTACTAGCCGGATAAAATGTTAACTATGGTAAATAAGAGGTAAGCATGTAATGCAGTCTCTAGGATGGCATGCTAAACTAGAGCAATAAAGTTTTGAGAGGAAAAACAATCATACCACATGAAATCCCGAATAAAGAGTGCCCGTGGGATCATAAGTCCATTCCCAATCATGGCAAGCAGCATTGAGATAGCCGATAAACCTTTGATGTTATTCGGATTCAAGAAATTTGTCCACTGGAAAGTAAGCATGAATTGTGATGAGGAAACCCATGCCAAAACAACATAAGAAAATTTAGATTTTTAATCCCAAAAACACGGTATAGATTACCATTTGTGCAACAGGCATCCACATAAAGAGAAGTGTGGCAGTCCATCCAGATATTGATCCAACAAATTTGATGCCATTTTCTGAGAGTTTGCCCAATCGAGCCTGCAAAATATTAGCAGATGCAAACCTCAGGAAAGCAAAATCTGAAGCCTTTATTGGATTGTCCAAATCAACAAATAACAAACACTCAACTCTAAGGAAATATGTCTTATATGATCTAAATTAATAGGAGGCTGTCATATTCCCACAATGATAGTGTCGGGAAGATGGTTCCACAAAATTGGAATTTTTTTTTGTGTCGATGACTATGAATAATAGGGGTGTCAATTGAATCATGTAGTGTCAAATTCGGGTTGTGTCATCTATGTATTAATAAGAAAACCATTTAATTCTAAAACTATTCAAAAAAATATAAGATAAAGAATTGAAAAAAAATCATATAGTTTCTTTTTTCAATTTCACTTAAACGGGTTATTTGTGTCTAACACTGACCTGACTAATTTCCTATTTATATGTGTTGGTAGTTGTGCCTGTGTTGATATGGAATACAAGCGCCCCTAATAAATGAGGATATCAACCGTCTCTCACTTCACAGATAGAACTTGGACCTCATCCAACTACTCTTCCATGTGAAAGGCAATTCCAAGCCAGTCATTGCAATAGATGGTCTTCGCAACTATCATTCAGAGATTTATATACTGATTCTTAGCATACTAAATCATGATAAGCAAAGGATTCTTAACAAGTAGATGGTCATCAGACAGGAGATGCTCATGAAACAATCAATAGCAAGAAGGCCCCATTGGAGCCTGTTTCACACCAAGTGGTACCAGTAGATGGCAATTTTTTATCTCAGCTAATACACACAGACTCATGTCTGAACAAGAACCTAAACCCTATTCTCTCCCTCATTACTTGTTGTGCAATAACAGAATTGAAATCTGGCATCCACTCATTCCATCATTATTTCCAGCATAACAATGTATTCACACTAAACTCCTCGTAAAAGTCACTCATTTTTTCTAGCTTTAGGAAACTTAACTCTACAGTCAACCATGACTTCCTCAGGTTCATGCAAGGTGATGACAGATGGGAATACTCCTTTGTATACAACCTAATACAACGCTGAACAACTCAAAAGCCACCATGGTCATCACTTGATTCAGTTTCACATTGATGATCCTGTTGGTCACATAAATCGCAGAGGAAAACAATCCCTTCAAGTTTGAATAAACTTTTTCCCCATTTTATAATGACTTTTCTATTGTCTCGCATTATTTGTTTGGCAATCTTTACACATCCAAATGGAACTTCAGATACAGCCGGAAACCACAATGAATATAACGTTTACCATAATAACAGCCACAACGGCTATGATGAAAGCCATCACCCCTGGCAAGATACTGTTTTGAATATACGGGACAAATGTTGACCACATGACCTGCGTGGCAATTCATAAGTAAAGAAGGCTCAGGACAAAGAAAAATTAACGAAAATGGATAAAATTTGGTACTTTGCATGCAAATAGGGAGGGGTGTGGGGGTGTGTGTGTGTGAGAGAGAGAGAGAGAGAGAACTTGGGGAAGTGCAGAGAGCCCAGCAATGGTAATGAAATCTTCCCAAAAGCGCCAGATTCCCAGATTGAGCAACTCAAAGTAATACAAAAAATTTAAAATGAGACCAGAAGCAACCACAAAAGAAGTGATGACAAAATGAGGGAGAGGCATCGCTTCGGCCATAGCCAGCTGAGCAATCACCACATATATGGATACAACTCCTAATGTCTGTACCACCACCACCTCCGTTTCCCTCTTCTTTGCAAAGTATGATAGTAACGAAAGATTCCCAAGCAACCCAGTGAACATCCCCTGCATTTAGAATGATTCTATACCATTACCATGAATAGAAGTAGACATATATAGTGCTTAATTCCAATATGGAATAGTTTTTTCTATGAGAACTTGCAATGCAATACCAGCCATGGAACTGCCAAGAGTGCGGACTTGTTTCCTGCCATAAGATTACGAGCATTGAGTATGATCTGGGGCAGTTGCAGCAACAGAAATGGTAAATTTGAAGCTCCCGCAAATTTTGCAGTCAACCAATCCCATTGCTCGAAACTGTTACTTTTCTTCAACTTATCTGATGTCTTTTTTTTAGGCATTTTTTATCAAATCATTATCAACAGCAAAAAAAAAATACAAAACAAAACAAATCTTTGGTGAGGGTGATGTGCATAATAATACCTGGTGAGTGGGGCGTGGGGCATCGGAGTCAAGAGCAGGAGCAGGAGCAGGATAGGGTTTGAGTGGATAATGAGTGAGTGATGGGTGAATTGAGGGGACAAAGAAGAGCAGGCCATTAGATTTGTTATTATTGAGGAGGAGGCGGCGGCCTTGTTGTTGAGACTGAGAGTAGTGGTAATAGGGGCGGGAGCGGGAAAAACACGAGGCAATTAAGTGGTGTTGATGAGAAAAGAAATGGTAGGAATTGGGAGGTGGAGAAGGGCGTAGAGGTAAGGGTAGCAAAGAACACGCCATCATCCCCTCTGAAAAATCAAAAGGCAAACAATTTATCATATTTCTAATACATAAACAGTTCACCAAACCTTAACCATGATTTTTAAGCACAAGTACATCATCATCAATACACAAAAAAAAAAAAATCAAACACAATCTAACCTGAGAATAGTGTAGGTAAACTCAATAATGAACGCACAAAAGAATATTGAGAAATCAAGAGTGACCAACCGCAAAATATTGAATTTACTTTAGGACTACCATTTACATAGCTAAAAGGCAGTGGCACTTAGAGCAACTCCACCCATATTATCTAAAATAGATCTTCAAAATATATTTAAATATTATATTATCTACTTTAGTAATAACTTTTTCAAATTCAATCCAACCACGCTATCTATTTATTTTAGCAAACCACTTTAACTACCTTTCAATAATAAAATTAAAAAAATAACAATTCAACTATATATTGTATAAATTTAATCAATTATGGGTTACAAGAGTAAATATCATAAAAAAATGAGCTATAAGGGTAAATATCATAAAAGAAGAGCTCATCACATGTATTTAACAAAACATTGACATATGTATAAGCAGGAAGACGATATGTATATCTATAAATCAGCAGGAAATTCCACTGTGGGTTTCGGATTGTAAATCAGCATGTATATGAATACCGGTGGGTTTCGGATTGGCAGAGGCGGTGGAGTCGACTGTGGGTTTTGAAAATCAGCAGGAAACTCCAAAAAATATATGTATAAATTTTTTGTTGTTTGTTTTGAACAGATCCCACCTCCAAAATCAGGAGCCACAAAAACAGAACCCACCTCTGTGGTGTGAAGATGATTTTGGAGTGACGAAGACGATAGAGCTGTGGAGACGATGAACCCAACTCTGCGATGATGAAGACGATGGAGCTGTGGAGCTTCTGTGAGTGACGATTTTGACGTGAAATGAGGAAATAGCTAGCGTTGGATGGTCGCCAGATCTAGCGAGTGATATTTGGATTATGGGAAATACCGATTGAGATAAATAGTCCGTTGGAGCTAAAATTTATGGATTGATTATCTAAAATAGTTAAAAGCCCCCTTTACATAACCCCATGGAGATGATCTTACAGGCAACCAACCAAGTAAGTAGAGATGCAGTCTTCTCTCCCTCTCCCCCCACTAACAGTCTCTCCCTGTGGAGAAAATGTCTACTTGAGATGCTAGGTGTGTTTTGGTAGCAGTTAAGAGAAAGCCAACTGTAGATTGAAGCCAAGGGGAATCAAAAGAAGAAAAATAAACAGCGTAGATTAGGCGGTGTCAGACGATCGAACCTAAAAAGAACACGTGGTGCATTTAAATTGATTTGAACAGATTTTGAGGGGATGTGGGCACGGGTACATGTGATGTGCTATAATACAATAGTAACGGTGGCGGTGGTCGCACAAATCTATAGCTGTGTCAAAATTTGGCATACACGATTAATCGACACAATTATTTGATATAAGTCGATATGAATTAATTGGAGTTGGGACACATTTGAGTGATAAACGGATCGTGTTCGGATGAAACTTATCGATCGATTTATTAAATTAATAAAATTAAAAATTAAAAATTATTTTTCCAAAAAAAGAAAAACCAAAGTCATCTCAGATCCAACAAATAATTGAGTTTCAATCTTATAAGCAGATCGTATGACTCCTTGGATTTGATTCCCTACTTGTCTGAGTTTTGTGCTTCCTCGTTTCATCTCCTTTTCTGCTTGCAACGCCCTCTTCTCCAACTTTTCACTTTCTGCCTTCAATGAAACAATTGATTGTCGTAACTCTTAACCAATGGATGCGAAGCAGCAACAAGAATACCCTCTTTAATCTTTCCAAAGACCATATCCTCATAAGCACTATAATCAGTCTTGACATCTTGAATATAATCGATGGCCTGATTAAAATGCGCAGATGAGGTGGATCGAATTCGATCGAGACGAGATTTCGTGACTACAATTGTCGATTCTACAGTTTCTTCAACCGTCTTGCTGTGCGTGAACTGTATATAGCTTTATTGGCTTTGAGAGCTTTGAAGGTCTCTTTTTCCTATTCACTCATGGTCTGAGCTTGGTCTCTGAGCATTGCTGTGAACACAGTGAAAGGAGGAGAACACAGTAAAAGTTTTTGGGTCCGAAAGCTTTTGGCTTAATCCCACGACAAATTTAAATGCAAGAGATCTCACATGCCTAAAAAATGCTGCAGTCCCTTAGTTTAGTTATTCAACTTTCTCACTTATTTTTTCAAGTGGCATTCAACTGAAAAATTTTTAATTAAGAGAATTAAGATCTTGTGGATAATTAATGAAATTTAAAATTTTAAGGATTAATTACAAGTTATACCCTAAAAGATAGTTTGAATCTCAATTTAAACCCCTAAAGATAAAAAATCTCAATTTATACTTTTAAAGATAGAAATTTGTATCAATGTGCACTCCAAAAATAAAAAATCTCAATTTACACCCTCAAAGATATAAATTTGTATCAAGGTGCACTTAAAACTAAATTTGATAAATTATACCTAGATCTNTTCCACAAAATTGGAATTTTTTTTTGTGTCGATGACTATGAATAATAGGGGTGTCAATTGAATCATGTAGTGTCAAATTCGGGTTGTGTCATCTATGTATTAATAAGAAAACCATTTAATTCTAAAACTATTCAAAAAAATATAAGATAAAGAATTGAAAAAAAATCATATAGTTTCTTTTTTCAATTTCACTTAAACGGGTTATTTGTGTCTAACACTGACCTGACTAATTTCCTATTTATATGTGTTGGTAGTTGTGCCTGTGTTGATATGGAATACTAGCGCCCCTAATAAATGAGGATATCAACCGTCTCTCACTTCACAGATAGAACTTGGACCTCATCCAACTACTCTTCCATGTGAAAGGCAATTCCAAGCCAGTCATTGCAATAGATGGTCTTCGCAACTATCATTCAGAGATTTATATACTGATTCTTAGCATACTAAATCATGATAAGCAAAGGATTCTTAACAAGTAGATGGTCATCAGACAGGAGATGCTCATGAAACAATCAATAGCAAGAAGGCCCCATTGGAGCCTGTTTCACACCAAGTGGTACCAGTAGATGGCAATTTTTTATCTCAGCTAATACACACAGACTCATGTCTGAACAAGAACCTAAACCCTATTCTCTCCCTCATTACTTGTTGTGCAATAACAGAATTGAAATCTGGCATCCACTCATTCCATCATTATTTCCAGCATAACAATGTATTCACACTAAACTCCTCGTAAAAGTCACTCATTTTTTCTAGCTTTAGGAAACTTAACTCTACAGTCAACCATGACTTCCTCAGGTTCATGCAAGGTGATGACAGATGGGAATACTCCTTTGTATACAACCTAATACAACGCTGAACAACTCAAAAGCCACCATGGTCATCACTTGATTCAGTTTCACATTGATGATCCTGTTGGTCACATAAATCGCAGAGGAAAACAATCCCTTCAAGTTTGAATAAACTTTTTCCCCATTTTATAATGACTTTTCTATTGTCTCGCATTATTTGTTTGGCAATCTTTACACATCCAAATGGAACTTCAGATACAGCCGGAAACCACAATGAATATAACGTTTACCATAATAACAGCCACAACGGCTATGATGAAAGCCATCACCCCTGGCAAGATACTGTTTTGAATATACGGGACAAATGTTGACCACATGACCTGCGTGGCAATTCATAAGTAAAGAAGGCTCAGGACAAAGAAAAATTAACGAAAATGGATAAAATTTGGTACTTTGCATGCAAATAGGGAGGGGTGTGGGGGTGTGTGTGTGTGAGAGAGAGAGAGAGAGAGAACTTGGGGAAGTGCAGAGAGCCCAGCAATGGTAATGAAATCTTCCCAAAAGCGCCAGATTCCCAGATTGAGCAACTCAAAGTAATACAAAAAATTTAAAATGAGACCAGAAGCAACCACAAAAGAAGTGATGACAAAATGAGGGAGAGGCATCGCTTCGGCCATAGCCAGCTGAGCAATCACCACATATATGGATACAACTCCTAATGTCTGTACCACCACCACCTCCGTTTCCCTCTTCTTTGCAAAGTATGATAGTAACGAAAGATTCCCAAGCAACCCAGTGAACATCCCCTGCATTTAGAATGATTCTATACCATTACCATGAATAGAAGTAGACATATATAGTGCTTAATTCCAATATGGAATAGTTTTTTCTATGAGAACTTGCAATGCAATACCAGCCATGGAACTGCCAAGAGTGCGGACTTGTTTCCTGCCATAAGATTACGAGCATTGAGTATGATCTGGGGCAGTTGCAGCAACAGAAATGGTAAATTTGAAGCTCCCGCAAATTTTGCAGTCAACCAATCCCATTGCTCGAAACTGTTACTTTTCTTCAACTTATCTGATGTCTTTTTTTTAGGCATTTTTTATCAAATCATTATCAACAGCAAAAAAAAAATACAAAACAAAACAAATCTTTGGTGAGGGTGATGTGCATAATAATACCTGGTGAGTGGGGCGTGGGGCATCGGAGTCAAGAGCAGGAGCAGGAGCAGGATAGGGTTTGAGTGGATAATGAGTGAGTGATGGGTGAATTGAGGGGACAAAGAAGAGCAGGCCATTAGATTTGTTATTATTGAGGAGGAGGCGGCGGCCTTGTTGTTGAGACTGAGAGTAGTGGTAATAGGGGCGGGAGCGGGAAAAACACGAGGCAATTAAGTGGTGTTGATGAGAAAAGAAATGGTAGGAATTGGGAGGTGGAGAAGGGCGTAGAGGTAAGGGTAGCAAAGAACACGCCATCATCCCCTCTGAAAAATCAAAAGGCAAACAATTTATCATATTTCTAATACATAAACAGTTCACCAAACCTTAACCATGATTTTTAAGCACAAGTACATCATCATCAATACACAAAAAAAAAAAAATCAAACACAATCTAACCTGAGAATAGTGTAGGTAAACTCAATAATGAACGCACAAAAGAATATTGAGAAATCAAGAGTGACCAACCGCAAAATATTGAATTTACTTTAGGACTACCATTTACATAGCTAAAAGGCAGTGGCACTTAGAGCAACTCCACCCATATTATCTAAAATAGATCTTCAAAATATATTTAAATATTATATTATCTACTTTAGTAATAACTTTTTCAAATTCACTCCGACCACGCTATCTATTTATTTTAGCAAATCACTTTAACTAATTTTCAATAATAAAATTAAAAAAATAATAATTCAACTATATATTGTATAAATTTAATCAATTATGGATTACAAGAGTAAATATCAAAAAAAATGAGCTATAAGGGTAAATATCATAAAAGAAGAGCTCATCACATGTATTTAACAAAACATTGACATATGTATAAGCAGGAAGACGATATGTATATCTATAAATCAGCAGGAAATTCCACTGTGGGTTTCGGATTGTAAATCAGCATGTATATGAATACCGGTGGGTTTCGGATTGGCAGAGGCGGTGGAGTCGACTGTGGGTTTTGAAAATCAGCAGGAAATTCCAAAAAATATATGTATAAATTTTTTGTTGTTTGTTTTGAACAGATCCCACCTCCAAAATCAGGAGCCACAAAAACAGAACCCACCTCTGTGGTGTGAAGATGATTTTGGAGTGACGAAGACGATAGAGCTGTGGAGACGATGAACCCAACTCTGCGATGATGAAGACGATGGAGCTGTGGAGCTTCTGTGAGTGACGATTTTGGCGTGAAATGAGGAAATAGCTAGCGTTGGATGGTCGCCAGATCTAGCGAGTGATATTTGGATTATGGGAAATACCGATTGAGATAAATAGTCCGTTGGAGCTAAAATTTATGGATTGATTATCTAAAATAGTTAAAAGCCCCCTTTACATAACCCCATGGAGATGATCTTACAGGCAACCAACCAAGTAAGTAGAGATGCAGTCTTCTCTCCCTCTCCCCCCACTAACAGTCTCTCCCTGTGGAGAAAATGTCTACTTGAGATGCTAGTTGTGTTTTGGTAGCAGTTAAGAGAAAGCCAACTGTAGATTGAAGCCAAGGGGAATCAAAAGAAGAAAAATAAACAGCGTAGATTAGGCGGTGTCAGACGATCGAACCTAAAAAGAACACGTGGTGCATTTAAATTGATTTGAACAGATTTTGAGGGGATGTGGGCACGGGTACATGTGATGTGCTATAATACAATAGTAACGGTGGCGGTGGTCGCACAAATCTATAGCTGTGTCAAAATTTGGCATACACGATTAATCGACACAATTATTTGATATAAGTCGATATGAATTAATTGGAGTTGGGACACATTTGAGTGATAAACGGATCGTGTTCGGATGAAACTTATCGATCGATTTATTAAATTAATAAAATTAAAAATTAAAAATTATTTTTCCAAAAAAAGAAAAACCAAAGTCATCTCAGATCCAACAAATAATTGAGTTTCAATCTTATAAGCAGATCGTATGACGCCTTGGATTTGATTCCCTACTTGTCTGAGTTTTGTGCTTCCTCGTTTCATCTCCTTTTCTGCTTGCAACGCCCTCTTCTCCAACTTTTCACTTTCTGCCTTCAATGAAACAATTGATTGTCGTAACTCTTAACCAATGGATGCGAAGCAGCAACAAGAATACCCTCTTTAATCTTTCCAAAGACCATATCCTCATAAGCACTATAATCAGTCTTGACATCTTGAATATAATCGATGGCCTGATTAAAATGCGCAGATGAGGTGGATCGAATTCGATCGAGACGAGATTTCGTGACTACAATTGTCGATTCTACAGTTTCTTCAACCGTCTTGCTGTGCGTGAACTGTATATAGCTTTATTGGCTTTGAGAGCTTTGAAGGTCTCTTTTTCCTATTCACTCATGGTCTGAGCTTGGTCTCTGAGCATTGCTGTGAACACAGTGAATGGAGGAGAACACAGTAAAAGTTTTTGGGTCCGAAAGCTTTTGGCTTAATCCCACGACAAATTTAAATGCAAGAGATCTCACATGCCTAAAAAATGCTGCAGTCCCTTAGTTTAGTTATTCAACTTTCTCACTTATTTTTTCAAGTGGCATTCAACTGAAAATTTTTTAATTAAGAGAATTAAGATCTTGTGGATAATTAATGAAATTTAAAATTTTAAGGATTAATTACAAGTTATACCCTAAAAGATAGTTTGAATCTCAATTTAAACCCCTAAAGATAAAAAATCTCAATTTATACTTTTAAAGATAGAAATTTGTATCAATGTGCACTCCAAAAATAAAAAATCTCAATTTACACCCTCAAAGATATAAATTTGTATCAAGGTGCACTTAAAACTAAATTTGATAAATTATACCTAGATCTCCTCATGCTTGTCACTTAATTATTTGGACCCCTTCACATTTAGAATATTACTCCTACATCTCATGACTTTTATGCATGTGTAACACGTAACCCCTTTTCGTTGATATCGATTAATATAGCTGTTAAAAAATATGATTTTATCATAATAAAAAATTATAATTTCATATTACCCTTTATTTTGTGGGTCCAATATAATCTAAAGTTAAAATCAAACTTATCATTTGAATGTCAACTAGAATGTAGATATTTATATAATATTTTTTATATCCAATGCAATATATCACTCAATGTGCAATTATTTTTTAACGGTTATATTAACAGATATTAACGAAAATGGGTTATATGTTATACGTGAACAAACGTCATGAGATGTAAGAGTAATATTCTAAATGTAAAGTGGTCCAAATGATTAAATGACAAGTATAAGGGTCTAGGTATAATTTATCAATTTAATTTTAGGTGTACATTGATACAAAATTCTATTTTTGAGGGTACAAATTGAGATTTTTTATCTTTAGGGGTGCACATTGATACAATTTTCTATCTTTGAGGGTGCAAATTAAGCCTTTTGATATTTGGGGGTGCACATTGATACAAATTTCTATCTTTGAGGGTGCAAATTTAGATTTTTGATATTTGAGGGTGTAAATTAAAATTCGAACGATGTTTCAGGGTGTAATTTGTAATTAATCCAAATTTTAATAGAATAGTTTTTTGGTGTGGGTTAAAATTTTAATAAAATTAAATGTGTTAAACGTGTCGTGTCGTGTTACCCGTTTATTAAACGGTTCGTGTTCGTATTGAGTTTTTTCACTCGTTTATTAAATAGTTCGTGTTCGTGTTGAGCTTTTTCACCCGTTTATTAAACGTGTTGTGTACAAGTTTGCATGTTTTTCACTTGTCATCTATTTAACCCGACACGTTTGACACCCCTACATATCACATTATGTGCTCACTTTTGCTTTAAGCCTACTCAGACTCCGCCAGATGAGGTGATCGACCCAAGCATGGGTACAATTTGATTGGTCTAACCCGAATACAACTTGAATAATTAATGTTTTGATTGAGTTTTTAAAAATTTGAATTAGATTTGCACTAAAATTTCTTAACTTAAACTAAATTTGGGTTGGATTTCAGTTAAGATTTTGNTGAGAGAGAGAGAGAGAGAGAACTTGGGGAAGTGCAGAGAGCCCAGCAATGGTAATGAAATCTTCCCAAAAGCGCCAGATTCCCAGATTGAGCAACTCAAAGTAATACAAAAAATTTAAAATGAGACCAGAAGCAACCACAAAAGAAGTGATGACAAAATGAGGGAGAGGCATCGCTTCGGCCATAGCCAGCTGAGCAATCACCACATATATGGATACAACTCCTAATGTCTGTACCACCACCACCTCCGTTTCCCTCTTCTTTGCAAAGTATGATAGTAACGAAAGATTCCCAAGCAACCCAGTGAACATCCCCTGCATTTAGAATGATTCTATACCATTACCATGAATAGAAGTAGACATATATAGTGCTTAATTCCAATATGGAATAGTTTTTTCTATGAGAACTTGCAATGCAATACCAGCCATGGAACTGCCAAGAGTGCGGACTTGTTTCCTGCCATAAGATTACGAGCATTGAGTATGATCTGGGGCAGTTGCAGCAACAGAAATGGTAAATTTGAAGCTCCCGCAAATTTTGCAGTCAACCAATCCCATTGCTCGAAACTGTTACTTTTCTTCAACTTATCTGATGTCTTTTTTTTAGGCATTTTTTATCAAATCATTATCAACAGCAAAAAAAAAATACAAAACAAAACAAATCTTTGGTGAGGGTGATGTGCATAATAATACCTGGTGAGTGGGGCGTGGGGCATCGGAGTCAAGAGCAGGAGCAGGAGCAGGATAGGGTTTGAGTGGATAATGAGTGAGTGATGGGTGAATTGAGGGGACAAAGAAGAGCAGGCCATTAGATTTGTTATTATTGAGGAGGAGGCGGCGGCCTTGTTGTTGAGACTGAGAGTAGTGGTAATAGGGGCGGGAGCGGGAAAAACACGAGGCAATTAAGTGGTGTTGATGAGAAAAGAAATGGTAGGAATTGGGAGGTGGAGAAGGGCGTAGAGGTAAGGGTAGCAAAGAACACGCCATCATCCCCTCTGAAAAATCAAAAGGCAAACAATTTATCATATTTCTAATACATAAACAGTTCACCAAACCTTAACCATGATTTTTAAGCACAAGTACATCATCATCAATACACAAAAAAAAAAAAATCAAACACAATCTAACCTGAGAATAGTGTAGGTAAACTCAATAATGAACGCACAAAAGAATATTGAGAAATCAAGAGTGACCAACCGCAAAATATTGAATTTACTTTAGGACTACCATTTACATAGCTAAAAGGCAGTGGCACTTAGAGCAACTCCACCCATATTATCTAAAATAGATCTTCAAAATATATTTAAATATTATATTATCTACTTTAGTAATAACTTTTTCAAATTCACTCCGACCACGCTATCTATTTATTTTAGCAAATCACTTTAACTAATTTTCAATAATAAAATTAAAAAAATAATAATTCAACTATATATTGTATAAATTTAATCAATTATGGATTACAAGAGTAAATATCATAAAAAATGAGCTATAAGGATAAATATCATAAAAGAAGAGCTCATCACATGTATTTAACAAAACATTGACATATGTATAAGCAGGAAGACGATATGTATATCTATAAATCAGCAGGAAATTCCACTGTGGGTTTCGGATTGTAAATCAGCATGTATATGAATACCGGTGGGTTTCGGATTGGCAGAGGCGGTGGAGTCGACTGTGGGTTTTGAAAATCAGCAGGAAATTCCAAAAAATATATGTATAAATTTTTTGTTGTTTGTTTTGAACAGATCCCACCTCCAAAATCAGGAGCCACAAAAACAGAACCCACCTCTGTGGTGTGAAGATGATTTTGGAGTGACGAAGACGATAGAGCTGTGGAGACGATGAACCCAACTCTGCGATGATGAAGACGATGGAGCTGTGGAGCTTCTGTGAGTGACGATTTTGGCGTGAAATGAGGAAATAGCTAGCGTTGGATGGTCGCCAGATCTAGCGAGTGATATTTGGATTATGGGAAATACCGATTGAGATAAATAGTCCGTTGGAGCTAAAATTTATGGATTGATTATCTAAAATAGTTAAAAAAGCCCCCTTTACATAACCCCATGGAGATGATCTTACAGGCAACCAACCAAGTAAGTAGAGATGCAGTCTTCTCTCCCTCTCCCCCCACTAACAGTCTCTCCCTGTGGAGAAAATGTCTACTTGAGATGCTAGGTGTGTTTTGGTAGCAGTTAAGAGAAAGCCAACTGTAGATTGAAGCCAAGGGGAATCAAAAGAAGAAAAATAAACAGCGTAGATTAGGCGGTGTCAGACGATCGAACCTAAAAAGAACACGTGGTGCATTTAAATTGATTTGAACAGATTTTGAGGGGATGTGGGCACGGGTACATGTGATGTGCTATAATACAATAGTAACGGTGGCGGTGGTCGCACAAATCTATAGCTGTGTCAAAATTTGGCATACACGATTAATCGACACAATTATTTGATATAAGTCGATATGAATTAATTGGAGTTGGGACACATTTGAGTGATAAACGGATCGTGTTCGGATGAAACTTATCGATCGATTTATTAAATTAATAAAATTAAAAATTAAAAATTATTTTTCCAAAAAAAGAAAAACCAAAGTCATCTCAGATCCAACAAATAATTGAGTTTCAATCTTATAAGCAGATCGTATGACGCCTTGGATTTGATTCCCTACTTGTCTGAGTTTTGTGCTTCCTCGTTTCATCTCCTTTTCTGCTTGCAACGCCCTCTTCTCCAACTTTTCACTTTCTGCCTTCAATGAAACAATTGATTGTCGTAACTCTTAACCAATGGATGCGAAGCAGCAACAAGAATACCCTCTTTAATCTTTCCAAAGACCATATCCTCATAAGCACTATAATCAGTCTTGACATCTTGAATATAATCGATGGCCTGATTAAAATGCGCAGATGAGGTGGATCGAATTCGATCGAGACGAGATTTCGTGACTACAATTGTCGATTCTACAGTTTCTTCAACCGTCTTGCTGTGCGTGAACTGTATATAGCTTTATTGGCTTTGAGAGCTTTGAAGGTCTCTTTTTCCTATTCACTCATGGTCTGAGCTTGGTCTCTGAGCATTGCTGTGAACACAGTGAATGGAGGAGAACACAGTAAAAGTTTTTGGGTCCGAAAGCTTTTGGCTTAATCCCACGACAAATTTAAATGCAAGAGATCTCACATGCCTAAAAAATGCTGCAGTCCCTTAGTTTAGTTATTCAACTTTCTCACTTATTTTTTCAAGTGGCATTCAACTGAAAATTTTTTAATTAAGAGAATTAAGATCTTGTGGATAATTAATGAAATTTAAAATTTTAAGGATTAATTACAAGTTATACCCTAAAAGATAGTTTGAATCTCAATTTAAACCCCTAAAGATAAAAAATCTCAATTTATACTTTTAAAGATAGAAATTTGTATCAATGTGCACTCCAAAAATAAAAAATCTCAATTTACACCCTCAAAGATATAAATTTGTATCAAGGTGCACTTAAAACTAAATTTGATAAATTATACCTAGATCTCCTCATGCTTGTCACTTAATTATTTGGACCCCTTCACATTTAGAATATTACTCCTACATCTCATGACTTTTATGCATGTGTAACACGTAACCCCTTTTCGTTGATATCGATTAATATAGCTGTTAAAAAATATGATTTTATCATAATAAAAAATTATAATTTCATATTACCCTTTATTTTGTGGGTCCAATATAATCTAAAGTTAAAATCAAACTTATCATTTGAATGTCAACTAGAATGTAGATATTTATATAATATTTTTTATATCCAATGCAATATATCACTCAATGTGCAATTATTTTTTAACGGTTATATTAACAGATATTAACGAAAATGGGTTATATGTTATACGTGAACAAACGTCATGAGATGTAAGAGTAATATTCTAAATGTAAAGTGGTCCAAATGATTAAATGACAAGTATAAGGGTCTAGGTATAATTTATCAATTTAATTTTAGGTGTACATTGATACAAAATTCTATTTTTGAGGGTACAAATTGAGATTTTTTATCTTTAGGGGTGCACATTGATACAATTTTCTATCTTTGAGGGTGCAAATTAAGCCTTTTGATATTTGGGGGTGCACATTGATACAAATTTCTATCTTTGAGGGTGCAAATTTAGATTTTTGATATTTGAGGGTGTAAATTAAAATTCGAACGATGTTTCAGGGTGTAATTTGTAATTAATCCAAATTTTAATAGAATAGTTTTTTGGTGTGGGTTAAAATTTTAATAAAATTAAATGTGTTAAACGTGTCGTGTCGTGTTACCCGTTTATTAAACGGTTCGTGTTCGTATTGAGTTTTTTCACTCGTTTATTAAATAGTTCGTGTTCGTGTTGAGCTTTTTCACCCGTTTATTAAACGTGTTGTGTACAAGTTTGCATGTTTTTCACTTGTCATCTATTTAACCCGACACGTTTGACACCCCTACATATCAGATTATGTGCTCACTTTTGCTTTAAGCCTACTCAGACTCCGCCAGATGAGGTGATCGACCCAAGCATGGGTACAATTTGATTGGTCTAACCCGAATACAACTTGAATAATTAATGTTTTGATTGAGTTTTTAAAATTTTGAATTAGATTTGCACTAAAATTTCTTAACTTAAACTAAATTTGGGTTGGACTTCAGTTAAGATTTCGGATTCGCAGTTTCAACCTAAGAACAACTTGAATAATTAATGTTTTGATTGAGTTTTTAAAAATTTAAATTAGATTTGCACTAAAAATTCTTTAACTTAAACTAAATTTGGATTGGGCTCCAGTTAAGATTTTGGATTCACAATTTCAACTTGAGCACGAAATGAATTACTAAAAATCGAGTTTAACTCGAGTTCTTATTTAAGAATTAAAAAATAATGTGTATTATTTAAGTATTTAATATAGATATATATATATAATCAAGAACCTTTCGTAGCACTAGAGCGAGTGCAAACTCTCTCATTCAACTGATGTTTAATGTTGAATAAAGAAGAAAAGAAGATGTCTAAGTAAGAATCTCACAGTTGCAAACAAAAGATATATCTCTCCTCTTGTATATAAGGAAAACAAACTCCAAGTGACTTGTGTCTTTAATGTATTTGGTTTTTATTGGGCCTATGTAAGTTTAATAAAAGAGTTAAAAGGTATTTACATTTAAGAATTTGAATTTATCCTAAAAATTGAACCCGATTTAATAACTTTGACTCAATTTAAATTCAACTCGACTAAGCGGATAACACTCGGGTTGATATCGAATTTGGATTAGGTTCAAGTTAAAAAGTTTTATAACTCGAGTTGGACTTAAATTGACCTCTTAACTCATCCAAATACAGCCCTAGCCCCAAGTGGGCTAAACTCCCACCAACTCCAAACCATCCTCAGCCAATCATCATCTCTAGTGTAGTGTAGTTAGAATTTTGAATTTATTTAATACATTGGTTGAGTTATTATGGTTACAAAATTAAAATTTATATGACTTATTGTGATTAAAGGTTAAAATATAGATTGAGTTACTAAGGTTAAAAAGATAAAATTTAAATGAGTTATTGTAGTCAAAAAGTTAAAATATAGATTAAGTTATTATGATTAAATAAATTATTGTGGTTAAAATGTTAAAAATTAAAATTTAAATGAGTTATTGTGATTAAAATTTAATTAGTTAGTGTTAAAAGGCTAAAATATGATATAAATTGTCGGATCTAAACGATTTGAGCTGTTATTATAATTTTTTAAGTAAGGACCTTAAGTAGCTCAAGTAGAATGTCATGTTTTGTTATATGGATATACTAGAATAATTTCGTATATGAAAATACTATGCAATATAAAAAATCAAACTTTAATTTTATAATATTTATATTTTAAATAGTAGTTTAATTTTTTTAACTAATGCAAAAAAAAAGAGGTATTTGTAGATTAATGAAATTGTTTGACATTAGAGAGTGTATTGAATAAGTTACTTGACACTAGAGGTCATACAAAGAAAATGATATTTTTTAGTGGGAAAATGAATTTTGAATAAATTTTGTACTATTAGATTAAAGTAGTGAAAATTGTATTAATCTTGATATAAATTAGAAATTCAATTTTTAAACTGTAATATATATATACAATTTACTAATATAAAAGAAAATCAAGAGGTAAAACAGAGAGGTCAAGTTAGAATTTAAGGATCTAAGAAGTAATCAGCTTTTCGGATTCATGCGCTATGATCCAATAATTATATTGCAAATACTAGTTAGTATAAACCTTAGCCATCAATTGAATCCAATTATTGTTGGCGGAAGATATACTTTTTTTAAGACATCAAGACTTCATTGTTTCATCTCCAAGTGGTGTTTATTGGATGGGTTGTACATTTCGTTTCATCCCATTGCTGTTGTTGGCTCCACTCCACGTCAAGAGTAACACCATTAATAGAAGATATTGACAACTAATTGTGGGGTCAGATTTTTGGTATAAATGTGGCAACTAAATTTAAAATAGATAAAAATGTAAGACGAATCAACATTCGTATCGAGACGTGACACATGAACATAAATAATATTACACCTAGGGAATGCGTGGTCTTGAGGAAACAGGCTCCTTGAGGCATGGAAAAATAGGTGATTCCGTGCTTGAATATTTAATGTTTGGTAGGTATGTGGGACCCTATGATGCGACATACCANGAACATAAATAATATTACACCTAGGGAATGCGTGGTCTTGAGGAAACAGGCTCCTTGGGGCATGGAAAAATAGGTGATTCCGTGCTTGAATATTTAATGTTTGGTAGGTATGTGAGACCCTATGATGCGACATACCGCAAAAAATGATTATTTACACAGACACGTCACAACAAAATCACACTCCGAATATCAAACAAATCCAAATAAAGGCATAACTCTTATTGATGTGGATTGCTTGGGGCATCTATATTAATACTTGAAGTCAATCCAACAAATGTTCGACGTGACTAATCGAATGCCCGACAGAGATCATTAAATGTTGAGGGTACATATATTAAATGCTCAGTTTCTCGAGCAGGACAATTATTATGAAGCCGCTAGCCTTCACCAAGCCTAGTAATTGTAATGTTCGAGGGCAGAGTAGTTATTGATTCATTGCCCTTAAGGGGGCGTTACTAGCCAACTTGATGGGACCCACAAAGTGTCATGTCATCACCCTTGAAGATATAAATAACCCACAAAATTAGATCTCAGTACGTAACCAAGACCATCCCAACGTAGTAGAACTTGATCCTCTCTTTTAGCACCTATTGACTTAGGAATCAAAGGGAATACGCCTCAAGACACCTTCTAACCCAGTTC